ATGGGGTGCGGGGTTTAGGGAGAGCGCGCGGTCGGCACTTCTCCGGACACGGGCCGCCGCCCTTCATGAGAGCTGAGAGCCCGTCCTTGATGCGGCGAGCCCGAAGAGCGCCGCGTAGGGCTTCTCGCGCAGGCATGGCCGGGTCGAACGCCGCGTCGACTGGAGCGGCGATGACGGCGGTCGGGTCGATGTCGAGGACGGGCCGAGACGTGACAGTGACCGCGCGAACGCCCTGTGCCGCCGGGGAGCAGGTGCGTCATTCAAGTGCTTGAATGGGAGGCACCCACGGGGCGGTAATGCAGCGGCGCACCGCACTCTCGTCCGCGATGTCCGTGTAGCACTCGATGGTCGCCTGCGACAAGCCGCCGCGGTGCGGTTGTAGGCCTTCGAGCAGGTACGCGCAGACGGTACGCCGACCTCGTACTGCGAGGGAAGCGGCAGCGACCGAGGAGGCGACGGTGAAGTGGGCTGCCGGCATGCCGGAGATGGCGACGCGGGCCTGCGCGAGGGCGAGGAGAAGGGTGGAGGCAGGCGGGAAGGCGGGCGGGCGGAGGGGGGAAGACGATCTGGAGGGGGGGAAGGGGGGGGGGGAGGGAGGGAGGGGCGAGGGCGCCGCGGCCGGCACCTTCTCCGGACACGGCCCGCCGCCCTTCATGAGAGCTGAGAGCCCGTCCTCGATGCGGGGACGAGCCCGAAGAGCGCCTCGTAGGGCTCTTCGCGCACACATGGCCGGGTCGAACGCCGCGTCGACTGGAGTCCAGCAAAGAAGAAAGAGTGTGCCCGCCGTGCCGGCGGAGGGAGGCGCTCGCCTTGTTGCCGAAGCTGGCGGTGGCGGGGGCGTCGGCAACCGGGTCGGCGACGTTGAGCGTCAAGGCGACGATGTCTGGGCAGGAAGGAGGCGGACGGCAAAGCGGTGACGGAGTCGGCGGTGGAGAAGTCGGAGGTGAGCGCGGAGAGACCCGAGGCGCGACCGCCGCACGCAGCGAACAAAGAGCGCTGGTCCGCGATGTAGCAGATGTTGTCCGGCACGGAGAGCGTCAAGGGCACGCGCGCGCCAGCCGCCGCCGTTGAGATTCAGTCGCTCGTGGGCTGTGGTCGAGGGTCTTGGGAGTAGGCAGTAGCTGTGCCGCGCGCGCTGTGGGCTGTGGGTCTGTCGTTCGGTGCGTGTCAGATCTAAGATGGGAGTGCATGCGCCGGCAAACAGCGGCAAACCTGGCGTCGTCGCCTACACAAGCAGGGGCGGGGCGTCAGAGCCGGCCGGGCGGAGCGGCGTAGCGAGAGCACGCCTCGATGCTCTCGATGATGAAAGGTTTGGGTGTGATCACACACGCGACGAATTCCCGTCTTCGATTTCTTTTCGCCGGAATTTTTTTCTTTGTATGTGTCATGAGAGAGTAGTGCAACTTGCCGCACAAATTCGCCCCCTCTCTCTCGAACGACACACAGACACAAACAAGCTCACAAGACACACAGCCAGCTGGCTGCCACACACCCTGAGTTGGCGTACACATAACTCAAGGCCGCGCACCCCCCCTGTCGTCTCCCCCAGCCAAGTCGCCGAAGGAACAAACACGGGCACAACAACACAACAGACGACAGGGGCGAGCGCGTGAGGCTGGAGCAGTCTTGCTCCTCCTCTAGCAATCGCCGCCGACCGCGAGGCCGGACTAGACCGTGTGTGGGGTCATGTGAGGTGTCTCTGGTCACTCTCCTCAGGGGCTAGCCGCCGGCCGCTAGCCCTATCTCGCACTCACTGGCGGTGACAATTCTATGGGTGAGCGTGTGCGAGTAGAGGCGCGTGAGCCGATTCTTGATCGCATGCCATTGGCATATAACTTGGCTTGGCGTGCGACCTCAGCGCGCCCGCCGTCAGCTCGACGGGGCGCGCATGTCAGCGATCGCACGCTCTGGCCTGTCTGGTCTTAGATCGTTATTTTGAGAGTAGACTCGAGTTGCCCCCCTCGTCAGTCCTGCACGAAGCTTCCGCTCCGAGAATACGTACGGAATACAAGGGGGGGGGGTGGCGAATACGTCAGAACGGGGGGGAAATACGGAATACAAGGGGGGTGGCGAATACGTCAGAAGTACGTACAGTCAGAAGCACGTACAGAATACAAGGGGGGTGGCGAATACGTCTGAACTGTGTGGTACGTAGGGGCGCAGCGGCGGGCAGGCGTGTGGTTAGGCACCCGGGCAGCAAACCATGCGAGATGACTCGGGATTGCCCGAGACAGCCCGAGATTACCCTAGATTACCCGACACGACCCAAGATCACCCGAGATTACCCGAGATCACCCGAGACGACCCAGGAGCACCCGAGATTACCGGAGATTGCCCGAGACGATCCGAGATTACCCGAGATTACCCGAGATTACCCGAGTCGGCTCGAGATTACCCGAGATTACTTGAGATTCCCTAGTTTGCCCGAGATCACTCGGGATTGCCCAAGATAGCCCGACCTCGAGGCTACCCGAGCTCGAGATTACTCCACGCGACTGGCGTGTGAATAGCCTCGAGCAATCGACGGTTGGGCGAGGCCCTTGATTAGTTAATAATTAGGTGAGGACATGTCATCACAGGGCCCTGACGTGTGAATAGCCTCGAGCAATCGACGGTTAGGCGAGGGCCTGAGCGTGTTTGTGGTGTTGGTGTGGCGTCTGAGCTTGGATCTGTGACTAAAGCCGGTTACCACTGATGGATCCCCACCCGAATAACACAGGCAGCCGGCGCAATCCGCAACATCACCGTCGGAGAAGATCAGCTGGCCATCGGCCGCAAGCAGGCGGGCGTACGCGCGGGCGCGGTGGCGGCGGTGTGTGAGGCGCTACGCTCTCCGGAGGTGGCTGCGGACGAGGAGGACGTCGAGATGTGCATCTCCGCGCTGCTCAACCTGTTCAGCGAGGTGACCGCCCGTGCCTTTGAGGAGCAGCTGCGCCCCGCCGGGGGCATCCGCGGGCTGCTGCGCGGCAGCGTCCTCCCATCGCTCAAGACGCACGCGAAGGCGGAGGGCGTGCTGATGTTTGGCATGTCGGCCCTCAACACCTTCACCCTCTCCGCCGAGTGCGGCCGCGACAAGCAAGAGCGTTGCCGCCAAGCGATGACCGACGGCGGCGTGGCGGCGCTGGTGAGCATCCTCCGCTCGCACCCGCGCCACGAGACGCTTCGCAACGGCTCCCTCGCCACCCTGCTGGGGTGGTACGAGGCCTCTGCGAAACCTCCAGCCGCGCAGAGGAGCGCAGCGAACGGCGGCGACGACGAGGCCTGCCCCGTCCGCGTGGAGTACATCGAGGCGGGCGTCCTCACAGCCGCGCTGCGTGTGCTCAAGACCACCAATGGCTGCGTCGAGCACGCCTACGAGCTGATTGGCTGGCTGATGAAGACGCACCCGGGCGGTATGGAGCCCTCAGCTGCGGAGCTCTCCGAAGCTGTGCGGGCGATCTTCCCCGACCCCGCCTCCTTTCGCCGGGCCCTTGCCAATGCCGCCAGTCGCGCCTCGGCTGGCAGTTAGGCTCACGAAACAGGCGGTCTCTCCGACAAGGCGACACTTCAGCGTACACGTATAGGAATAGGTTTTTCATAGAATCTGTTGGAGTTGTGTGGGCAGATTTTATGTGCGGTGGTACGGCTCTAGTGGCCGCCGCGCTATCTCGTCGGCGAAGCCCTCGTGCTTCCTTGATCACTCGAGATCACACGCACTCATTGGTCCCAGGCTAGCTCACCCGCCACCCCTGCACCCCGCGCCCCTGTTAGCGCACGTGGCGGCCTGGCAAGAAGCATTCCGATCCACCCGCCGGCAGAGCGCCCAGCGGCAAGCACGGCCCTTGTCCACACCGACGACCGCGCACTCCTTGAGCGCCGGCCTCGCCGCCGTCACCGCCACCCACTGGTGTGTGCTGGCGCAGCTCACGTCCGCTGCACGTCGCGGGGGCGGGTGCCGCCGCCGCCGCCGAAGGGCCGAGCCACCGTTCACGGTACCTCGCGTACAGCATTGCGTCGTGCGGCGCGGCGTCGCGGACGGCAGCGCGGAAAGCCGCGTCGCCCTCCGCCGTCCACGTCTTGCCGTCGCTGAAGCCGCTGTGGTTCCGCTTCGCCGCAAACTCGGGGCGGAACCACGCTGACTTGTGCGTGTGGCCCGGATCGACGCAGTGCGGCGGCATGGCCCCACTTTTTTATTTGGACCAGGCGGGCAGCCGAGGCGCATCCTGCCGCAGAGCTCGCGCATGAAGGCGGGGAGGGCCTCGGTCACGCCCACCACGTCCACCCTCCGCAGAAGCTCCTCTGCCTTTTCGAGGTCGGTCTTGTTTGAGCCAGGAAGCACCCCCTTGGCCAGCAGCCACGTCTGCAGGTTTGGGTTCCGCGTCGCAAACTCCGCCGCCGAGGCGCACTCGCGAGTGTACTTGCCCGGGTTGGGAACGCGAAAGTCGTGGCAGATTCCGGGGCCGTAGTAGAGCCACCAGCTCGCGTAGAGTGCGACCGGCTCCCGCAAGGTGAGGGCCAGCAAGACGGAGGCGCGGAAGACGGAGGCCAGCAAGACGGAGGCTTGATCAAGTCGATTGTCTGCTGCCAAGACCTTTCTACCTACCTACCTACCGCACACTCGGTGTCATCTCTTCACCTTCACACTGGTCGAGTCATAGGTGCGAGGGGCGTGGACGGCGGAGCTGGATCACACCAATCGTGGTCTGTACTGCTACGCATATGCACAGAGGCCCATATGCATACGCATCACATTACGCCCTCTCGGGATATCCCGCCATATCCCGCCATATCCCGCCATATCCCGCCATATCCCGCCGCGGATACCGCGAAAGAAACCGGCCAGCCTAGGCATACCACCCGCACCTACCACGCACGTGGCGGCCGACGCCGCCGCCGAGACCGCTGCATGTCACTCCCCTTTCTCCCGGCCGAGGAGCGAGGTGGGGCGGGGCGCGCGCGGGTGGCGGCGGGTGTGCGGGATGTCTGTGGGCCCGAGAGCGATATACCATGTGCGCCTTGCTTTGTTTCCTAACATCGAAGGCAAGCTCAAAAAGAACATTTTTGTTGAGGACGTAGCTGTGAGCGCTGTCAGAGCGGTGTTTCGACACCGATATCGTTCATCCTATACTTCACAGGTAAGTGTAAGCGGAGCAGCTGAGTAGATACAGCGAATCCTTTGTGTTCACACCTGCAAGAGCAGGTGTGAACCGATTTCGGCGTTAGCCGTCGGTATGTCTTGACCCCCCCCCCCCGGGGGGACGTGTCCCCCTTCAGCAGGCCAAGAGGACACCTGTTGAGGTAAAGGTACATGTCGATGTCTCTCGCCGACGCCACTCGACTTTTAGCCGACCTCGCCGACCAGACGGCGACGCTCTCGCCGACCGGCTCCGAGACTCTGGACGTGGGCGGCTGGCAGGTCGTCGTCGCCGACGGGCACGCGGTGCTGCCTGAAGGCATGATGCACCTGCCGGACCGGGCGTTCCGCAACCGCGCCTCTCTCGTCTCGGTCGCCTTCCCGCGCAGCCTTGCCTCCATCGGCAGCAACGCCTTCGAAGGCTGCTCCTCGCTCTCCTCCATCGACCTCCCTGCCGGCCTCACCGCCATCAACAACCACGCCTTCCGCCGCTGCTCCGCCCTCTCCTTGCCCTGTGTCCGACCCCTTTTGCGCAGCAACACCTTAAACTTTTAGGCCCTCCAAATTCGGGTCGGAGCGTAGCGGAGTGGGCCCCGAGTTTGAAAAGGGCGACGGACGCTTGCGTCCTAGCCTCCAGCAACGCCTCCCTCCCCGGCGCAGAGGGGCCCCCGGAGGGATGCTCAACCGCTCCACGCCACGCCGCTTGCGGCGGTCCTATTCCCAGCTCCGCTGAGGGCCCGTGCGTTATTTCTTTCTCCGGTGTACCTGTGTTAGTGCCAGTGCGCGCCAGTCCCGTGCCCAGTGTTGTGCGCGGGAGGCGCGAGGAAATTCTTTTGTCTAAATTCTTTCTCCTCCACCGGTCCTCGGGTCATGCACGCAGTGCTGCCGGTCTCGCTGGCCCTGCTTTCGCCTCGCTCGCCAGCCCTCGCCTCGACGCCGGCATGGACCGCTTCGCCTCGCATAGCTCGGCCGGCGGTCATGCTGGCCGCGCCGCGCGACGACAGCCCCTCCTCGCTCTTCTCGCCAGAGAGCTGGACTGAGAAGGGCTTCGACGGCGTCCAGCGGCTGCCTGCCGCCTGCCGCGCGGCGGAGGCGACGACGGCGGAGGCGGAGCACCTAGCGCTCGCCTTCCTCTCTCAGGACGCCGACTCCGTCGTCGCTCGCACCCTCTCCAAGGCGGGCTCCTCCGCGGCTTCGCTCAAGCGGCAGCTTGAAGACTTCAGCGCTCGGCAGCCCAAGGTGAAGGGCGCGGCGCCGGAGCAGCCGTCGGTCGGCGCGTCGCTGCTCGCGCTGGTGCGCGGCGCCAACAACGAGCGAGCCGCGCTCGGCGACGAGTTCCTCTCCGGTGACGGAGCTCACTCCTTCCGGAAGCCTCCGGACCCTTCCCAGACCCTTCCAGCACCCTTCCCTCTCCCCGCCACACCGTCGCCCGGACCTCCCACCCCGTTCCGCTCCGCCAGGCGAGCACGTGCTGATCGCGCTCGCCGAGGAGCCTCGCTGCGGCCGCGCGGCGCTGCGGGCGGGAGGGGCTCTGCGCCGCTCGGTCCGCTGCGGGAGCCGTCGGCGGAACCTTCCGTGAACTTTCCTCTGCAGGCGGAGGGTCTCGACGCGGCCAAGCTGCGGACTGCGGCGGACGAGGTGCGTGGCGGGCGCAAGATCAGCTCAAAGGACCCGGAGGCCGCCTACGAGGCGCGCGAGAAGGCCGACGCTGCCGCCTGGAGGAGCCTTCCCTCTTAGCCTTCCCGGGGCCTTCCTGCAGGCGCTGGAGAAGTACTCGCGCGATCTCACGGCGGAGGCAAAGGCTGGGCGGCTCGACCCGGTCATCGGCCGCGACGACGAGGTTCGCCGCGCGATGACCGTCCTCTCTCGGCGCACCAAGAACAACCCGATTCTGCTCGGCGAGCCCGGGCGTGGGCAAAGGCAGGAGCGATCGAGCCGTCGACGGACGGATTGACCCATCGGCTGATTAGGCGAGCCGGGTGTGGGCAAAACGGCGATCGCCGAGGGCCTCGCGCAGCGCATCGCCGCGGGAGACGTGCCCGAGAGCTTGCGCGGCCGCAGGCTGCTCGCGCGGTGGGGGGAGGAGAGAGACGCGTCGCATCGTTCTCGCCATTCCTGCTTGGCGCTGCAGGCTGCTCGCGCTGGACATGGGCGCGCTCGTCGCGGGCGCAAAGTACCGAGGCGAGGTCGAAGGCGGCTCGTGGCGGGGTGGTGTGGGCGGCGCTTCGTCACGCCTCTAGCTGTGGGCAGGCGAGTTCGAGGAGAGGCTCAAGGCGGTGCTGAACGAGGCGACCGAGGCCGAGATGCGCCGAGATGCGCCGAGATGCGCCGAGATGCGCCGAGATGCGCCGAGGTGCGCCGAGGTGCGCCGAGGTGCGCGGAGGTGAGCAAAGATGAGCCGAGAGTCTGTGCTGCGCGAGGTGACCGAGGCGGACGGCGCCATCATCCTCTTCATCGACGAGATCCACACCGTCGTCGGGGCCGGGAAGGCGGACGGCGCGATGGACGCCGGCAATCTGCTCAAGCCAGCGCTCGCGCGCGGTCAGCTGCGCTGCATCGGCGCGACGGCGAGGCGCGGCGGCAGCGAGGGAGCGGCGTCTCCGTCAGGCCCACCGCTGTGCGCAGGCGCGACGACGCTGGACGAGTACCGGCAGCACATCGAGAAAGACGCGGCGCTCGAGCGGCGCTTCCAGCAGGCCGCCGTGGCCGGTGGCGGAGGCGACCGCGCTGTGGTCCATGCCTCTCTCCTCCTCCCATCCGCAGGTCTTCGTGGCCCAGCCGACGGTGGAGGCGACCACCGGCATCCTGCGCGGCCTCAAGGAGCGGTGCGAGCAACAACCTCCACCTGCTGCGTCGCACCGGCATCGCCGTGCGGGAGGAAGGAGCGGATGAGTCGGTCCTGATGCGTGCAGGTACGAGCAGCCCGCCACGGCGTCGCCTTCAGCAGAGAGTGGACGACTCGCTCACCACGGGCGAATCCTCGCCAAAGGTACGAGCTCCACCACGGCGTCGCAATCTCGGACGCGGCGCTGGTGGCCGCGGCGGCCCTCTCCGACCGGTACATCTCGGAGCGCTTCCTGCCCGACAAGGCGAGGCCGTCCCGAGACGGCTGTGGACGGCGCGCCAGCTGTGAGCGGCGCCCTCCTCGCAGCGCTCGCACCGCCGTGACCAGGCGATCGACCTCGTCGACGAGGCGGCGGCGAAGCTCAAGATGGACGCCACGTCGCGGCCGCAGGCGAGGAGCTGAGATGGAGCCGAGACGAGCCGAGAGGAGCTGAGAGCAGCCGAGAGGAGCCGAGAGGAGCCGAGAGGAGCCGAGAGGAGCCGAGAGGACGCCACCCCGCGGCCGCAGGCGCTAGACCGGGGGTGTGGGGGGGGGTGGGGTGGGGGGTGGGGGGGGTGGGGGGGGGGGGGGGGCCTTTTGAACGGGCCCTGACCAAAGGGCCCCCCCCCCAGGCCCTGGACGAGGTGGAACCCCCCTTGGTCCAGGCCGGAGGAGGGAGGAAACCTCCCTCACCCCTGGGGAGATGCGGGGAGATCCCGGGGACCTTTGGGGGGGTAGGCCAAGATGGAGGATTTCTCCTTCCCCAAGGAGGCGGCCCCCGACCCG